GGACATTATCCATGAAAACTGGTCCCAAATTTTGGTGGGAGGCACTCGAATCACCCTCGGATCAGATGGACTTAATGGAGTTTCAGTCGATAAATTCCCTGCACTTATTGCATTCCTCGCCAAGCTTATTGATAAAGGTGTTGGCAGCCATTGATGAAGGTTTGAAGGTTTCTGGGTTTTGAAGTATGGTTTCTTTTTTGGGTTAAGAGTAAATACCAAGAGTTTTTTGGAGGTTTTGAGAGCGTAAAAATCCAAATGAAGATGACATGAGTATTTATAAGCATTTAAAAGAATGAGGGGTAAAATCAATCGAAGAGTTTTGTAATCCGGATGGATATTCAAAGAATCTAGGTGAAGAGACCAAAAAACTCATGGATTGAGAATGCACATTTATGTATGACAGCGAGGTTTATGGCGAAGGGATGTTTTAGGTACTCGCACGCTTTAAATGTTATTATTAGAGACGGACAGGTGGGCTGAGGAACTGCCACGTGGAAATGAATCTGACATCTTTAAGGGATTATGCAATCGTGCTCAATAAATGCTCCTGGGTGGTTGGAGCATTTGAGGTCTTTGGTATTCTTTGGTATATTAGGAATATGCTAAGGGATTATTTCGCTTCTTCAAGGTCGAGGCTCGGTCAGAACTTGCAGGCCGAAGGCTTAGAAGCGAGGGGGCAATGTTTAGGCCCAAAATATTATTTTAGGCCGAGCTTAGAGCCGCTCTCGGCCCAGTAATCTTCTAAAATTATCATGGGTTGTGCAGTGAGGATCGACCGAATCCCATCATGAGGGTGATTGATTTAGATAAAAGTGGGGTAGTTGAAACCTAGTGTAACAATGAGTCTTTAAGGCTAAGATCTAGGAGATGAATCTAGTTTGTTAAAGAGCTTGGTTCAAAGTCCTATTGGAGTTAGGATTGGCCGAGACCTAATCAGATTAGGATGAGGAGTTCTAATCCGAGTACAATTCTAGCTCAGCTATGAAAGGGTTTGCTATTATAAATGGAGAAAAGAGTGCATTAGTTAAGGCCCATCCAATTCAACATACAAATTGCCATGTGCAAAGCTTCTCAACAACCCTTGAGATTTTAGCCTTCTCCCCTTTCTTCCTGCCAACACATCTTCAGTTTGGATAAACAGCACTGAGTAAGCAACCGGCAACATCTTCAGTTTGGATACACAACACTGGACCTGTAAAATCAGCCAACCGAGGAGCACCTTCAGGTTGAATAAACAACATTGCTTCAAGGCCGACTGGTTATTTATCCAAGTCTCGGTCAAGAAGGATTTTTGAATCCTTGTTGGCAGAGGTCATCTCATTAGCCTTCTCAGCGAAGTGAGGTGTTACAAATTACTAAGCTCGGCACATTGAAGGCTGAGTTGTTTTATGATTGGATACTCGCAAGTAAGTTTCAGAGTCAGCATTCCGACGGCCGAACCCCATTTACCATCAAGACATACATCTCTTTTGAGTATTTGTGTCCATATAGTTTAGTGCCAGTTTGATGTGCTTATACTCTCACGAATATAATCACCGTGACTGAACCTGGCGCCTACGATTTGTGAACTTCGCAAAACTAGCAACCTTGTCTTCATGCTCTAAAACCCAAAGGTCGAGATGTGTTCCTTCCTCGGTCGCAATCGCAAGACGCAGAAGTCAGCAGCACACCCAACGTGACATCAACACATTTTACTCCCCGGCCGAGCTCGGCCGATGAGTTGGCACGCCCTGCACATAACTGAAAGATGTAGTTAGCTTATTAGTTACTTGGCCTGCACGCCACGTAGGCTTGGTAGTTTTTAGGGTCAATAATATCATAAGCAAATTAAAAGGAAACTACATATTCTTGCTAAGGCTTGTGGCCTCGCCCTAGCAAACAAACTAGTTACTAACAATCATAAAACCAAATATTATTCAAAACATGGGTAGAAAACACCTTGAAAATAAACTTGAATCTTCCAAAGTAGTGCGTGCGTTCTCCCCTCCTTAACCCTAATGGCTAAAAAGCCTTATTTATACTACTACAAAATAAAATCCTTACTAGAAAAGGTCTTCTAAAAATTAAAAACATAAAAACTTAGAAAAACTAGGAAATAAAAAGTTTCCTATTTGAAATAAAATTTGGACTTCTCAGAAAATCAGACTTTTGACCAATCAAATCAACTCTGATTTAGTCCCAAAATGTCTCTTTTGAAAGCTGAAGACGTCCCTAACAAATCCTCAGAAGGAATCTTCTTCAAAATATGCTTTCTTGACCTCCAAAATACCCAAAACGTCCAAAAATGTCAATCTGGGAAAGCTGCGCGCTGGGTCTTAATTTCATCACGGTTAAACGGCTTGGTAGAAAAATCAGAAATTTTGATACAATCATCTTGAAAGACTCACGAACATCCTCCAATTAGAATCACTTCAAAATTCAACCGTTTGATCACTTTTTTCTCAAAAGGAAGTCGAATGTCCTACATTGAAAATACATAACAAAGTATCAAAATTATACCAAAATAACCAATAAACTATAACTAAGAATGGGGTAAAATATATGGCATAATATGGACTCATCATTGATCTTGCAAAAAGACTTATTTTCCCGCTCTTGAAGGAAAGGATTGCATAAATTTGAGATGAAGAGCGTGTAAGCATTCTCACTAAGAAGTTCTTGCACAATAAAAAGGTTCTTCTCGTACTTGATGATGTGGATGAATTAAAGCTACTCTAAGTATTGGCTAGAAACCAAGGTTGGGTTGGTATGGGGAGTAGAATTATCGTTACAACTAGGGATAGTAGTAGCATCACGTCCTTTCTATTGAACCAACTGGAAAAGTTTCAAACCAAATTCGCCTAATTTTCTAAAACGTTGTGTGGAAGTGCAGTGAGTTTCAAATGTTGGGCTAGAGATGACAAGCACTACACAACTTCGACTGGGTTTCGAATGAGAAGGAAGTTTTCAAACGAAAAGAAAGTCGACTGCAAATGTTTTGAAACCGTTCGCGGGAAAGGGAGAGTTTTGGGCGAAGGAGATGACAACTGTTGTTGAGGAGAGGGAGAATTTAAGTTGATAAAAAATAACTATTGTCACCCTTAACTACTTTTCCCACACCTCTTCATATTTTTAAATACTTAATTGGTATCCTATTATTTAATCTTTCATATATAACCTTCCTACTTTTTATAGTAATTTATGAATGATTAATGAAAGATTAAATAAGGGCCGTCAAAAAAAGACGGGCAAAAACTGCACAAAAATTTCTTCAATTAAAATAAAAATTTCAAAAGGATTTTTATCATAAATTATTTCTAAAATTGATGCATTCCATCAAGATGGTTTCGAAAATGAAAATCGATCAGTAGTTCATGAAAATAGATGTAGAAAATAAATTTGGTATTTTCATCAAAATTTTGTAAGAAATCTGTTATGAGCTGACGTGGCACGTACTCGAGTCCCACAATTATAATTAAATATTATCATGTAGCTAAAATACATAATAAAAAAAATAATAATAAAGAAGAAGAAGATGATGATTTGGGAACTCTACAGACAGAGCTGGGCTGCCTCGACAACAAATGCGAAAACAACAGAACCTCTCCTCTCCCCAAAACAAACCCTAGAAATGTCCAAATTAAAAGAGCAAGCATCAGACTTGGATCCCAAAAAGCGATGCGTCAAATGAAACCACCGCTCCCGCGCGCCGCTTCTATTACGAGAAATCAAGTCCCTGTCAACTGAAATCGGTTCCAATCCCTTTCAATTTCTTTGTCATTTCCAAGAAATCCTCATCGGCTTCGATAGAAATCCTCTGTTAGAACTATAAATCTTCCATCCTCAAACGAATGACCACATTGACCTCCCAAACCCCTCAATGCGGCGCCTATAGCCCTATCTAAACCAGCTCCATAGTCCTAGACTCCAGTAAACGCGGCGCCCTTGGGGCCGTTGAATCTGGTGGTGGATGAGGTTCTGGAGCCTGTATTTGGAATGAAGGGTTGTATGGTATGGTGGTGGTGAATCAGAACATGGAGGGGGGATGGGGGCTCTCATTTCCGTTTCGAAGTGGAGGAATCGAAAATTGTTTTTCCGTTTGGAAGGGGAAGTGGAAGTGGTGTTGGAATTTGGATCATCGATTTTTTTTATTTTTTAAGTTTTTAATTTTATTTTGCCCTCTCAAGTTGTAATTTTAAGTTTTGTTTTATTTTTTAACTAATTTTTTAATATTTAATTATTTTTATTTGCCACGTCAGCAAAAATATATGAGCTTTATATTTGATACGTCATCATTTAACGGTCAAATTAACAGTTTGACTAACGCATATATAAAATTGCAATGAAATATTAAGTCAGGTATGAGATTGAAATATTTTAAAGATGTTGTATGAAGTTACCATTGCATCAAAACCTGTGGCGTAAAATGTAATTTATCTTTTTTATTATTTAAATAGAGCGCATAATTGACAGAATTGTGATGAAATTGCCACGTTGATTTTCGATAACTATTTTCAATGAATACATTGATTGATTTTCAATTCTAAATGTAATCTTGATAGAATGTGCCAATTTGAGAGACCATTTGTGATAAAAAATTATTCGAAATAGAGCAGATCCTGGACAAAATCAGGGGTTCCTACTTCCTAGAACCAAATCATTCCATCCACCACATAGAAGCCAAAATTGGCTAAATGATGCACCACACTATACTATTAGCTTGCCTACGTACATATATCAGAGACGTTCGACGCACTGAAAGTATTCAACAACATCCTGGAATTTTCTATAAGCATGCCCGCCCATCTCTTAGTTATCAGGTTCCTACTTCCTAGACTTCAATAACAAATAGAGGGAACATGGAATTAAATTCGACCGATGCGAAACATATAAGAAATGGCCAATTAAAATTACCATTCATTCAACAAATTAAGGAGTAGGTAGTACTACTTGAGAATGGAGATACATATTTTTATTCTCTAATTAAAGGGCCAAATATTAAACCAACACGGTCGCATTAATTGGCAGGAGGTGACAAGCGTGGCATTAGTGGGCGGGAGGAACAGGCGTGGTGGCGGTGGCAGCAAGAGGTGGCGAAGCAGGGGCGGAGGAATTAGTACTAGTAGCAGATGCAGCGGCATCACAGTAGCGTCGCAAAATGGTACCCTCCTCAGCCGTGAAACCAATAGAAGTGAGCATTGCAGGCCAGCAGTGGTGTGTAATGGTGGCAATGGCTTTGCAACAGTCGGGCCCTATATCAGCCTGCCCATTCAGGAAAAACAGAACCACCTCATTGGAGCATGATTTCAGCTCCACAAGGGCATTCCAGCAATCCGCTAATCCACCATCCCCTTCGTTTCCAGTTTTGATCCTTGCGGTGATTGGGATGTTGTAGCCTGGCTGCATGGGATTAATCACGTTTCTTGCTGCAAGTGCGTGGTCTGCAGCCAAGAATATTAGGCATACTGCCACCGGGAAAGCCACGTTTAGGGAAGCCATTGTACTTTACTGCTACTACTACCGATGGAATATGTGTATGAATTTGTCTTTGGTGAAAATCTGAGGGCTGACTGAGTGAAGAAAATGCGAGGATTTGGGAAATAATTTATAGTGGAGATGAGTCCGGTGAGAAACCTAAGAGGGCTGCTAATTATTGATTAAGGTGTTTATTAGTTTCATGATCATGGGGATTGATAATTTAATTTTGGTGTCTGTTTAATATTCCACCAAACGGTAACATTGGAAACAAGGTAATGAGCTGAATGTTGATGCCTGGTGGGTTTTCAGGAGGCGTTACACCGTTCACTCCGGAACTGCAATTTCATCGTTTCCATTATATATATATATATATAGTTTTGGAGCCACTTAGTGTTTAGTATATTGAAAGACCCTTTGGATATTAGGGTTTTTCGGTATAGCTGTTTCTTAGGGTTTAAGTCAACTCTAGGAGATGTGTTTTACCTAGTTAATAGCTGTTTCTTATTTTCTTGTGTTTAGCAATTGTAAGAGGTCTTTTCCTTGTTGTCATCTCCTTAATTCAAGGTGATTAGTTAGGCTCCCTAGGTCAGCCTGTGTGGTGTAATTAAGGAGCTAGTTGAGTGCTCATATGATCACTCAATCCCCTATATGTATTCTTGTAATCCTTACGATTTTCATAATTCAAAAAAGACCATATTGTGGAGCCAAAAATAATCAAGAAAAATATGAAGGCGACACGTGGACTTTTGGGTAAAAAAGATAAAATTACCCTTCAATCACACTGGGACTCCCACGCGCATGCAACAGACAATAACGGCTCAATCGAGGTCAAAGGTCATCGAAATGGTATTCTTTTAAATCCTCTTATCACTCCTCGTCAAATCCATACCCGTAAGGTAACTCCCAATTATTCTTTTCAAATTGGGATTAATTACCAAAATTAATTGATTAATTCCTTAATTAATTGACTAATTTCTTAATTAATTGCAAGATATTACTTGGTATAATATCTTGCAATTAGAGCAAAAAAAAACCACCATAAGTGGCCGGTCCCCATTTCTCCATATAGGGACAGCCACATCCCTATATATAGCCTCTCATTTCTCCAAAATCCTAAGTCCAATTCTCTTAGCATTTCTAGGACAAATTATTGTTTAAAAAACCACCAAAATCTTAATCAAGTATAGTAATCTTCTACATGCTAGATTTAAACTTAGATACAATAAAAGTACATTGTTTTAGCCAACTTAACCGGACACATGTTTGCAACAGGCACAAAGATTAGTTTGGGGAGTTGAGATCCTCTCCATATCCCATTATCCAAAGCCCCAAGACCTTAAAATTTGGACGGTTCAAAGAGAGAGATAAGGACACTTGTTTTTGTGTGAGATGGTGGCCAACGGAATGGATTCATGAGAGCTGGAGAATTCAATCGAAGTGGTCCAGATTTCTTGGTTCTTGAGCTCCTAACAATGAGATCTGGGGACGATCTAAACTCAATTTGGGATGCAAATAGAAATCTTTTAAAGTTCAATCGTTTTCTAAAATGTGAGCCCAGAAACAAACGTGACTTTAGGCCCAACTCAAATAGTCCAGACGCAAACCCAGAAATAGCTGCAGCGAAGAGGTAGCAGAGAAGGAGGGAGTCGAAGTGGGAGATGAGCGAATCGGAATTGCCAACGAAAGAGGCAATCGTGCTGAGAGGGCACGAGGGCGCTGTATTAGCCGCCAGGTTCAACAGCGACGGAAACTACTGCCTGAGCGCCGGCAAAGACCGAACCATCCGACTATGGAACCCTCACCGCGGCATCCACATCAAGACCTACAAATCCCACGGCCGTGAAGTCCGCGACGTTCATGTGACCTCGTAAGTCTCTAACTTTAATGTTGTCCTTCTGTCTTTCGAGCTTTTTGATTGAACCCAAATTTCCAAATTCCGATGAAACCATGTAAATTGTTGTTTAGGGACAATTCCAAATTGTGTTCCTGCGGAGGTGATAGACAAATATTTTACTGGGATGTGGCCACGGGTCGAGTGATTCGAAAGTTTCGGGGACACGAAGGGGAGGTGAATGCTGTCAAGTTCAATGAGTATTCGTCGGTTGTTGTCTCCGCTGGTTTCGATCAGTCGTTGCGTGCTTGGGACTGCAGATCTCACAGCATTGAACCAATTCAGATAATTGACACATTTACAGATAGTGTAATGTCTGTTTGTTTGACAAAGACCGAGATTATTGGTGCAAGTGTTGATGGAACTGTTCGAACATTTGACATGCGTATTGGGAGGTAATGTTGTTACATTGCCCTGAAAATTCAGAGACGAAAAACCCCATGTTTTTAGTTCAGCTGTACTGCTTTGTGACTTTGTGAAAATGCTAATATGTAGACACACCGAAGTTTAATTAGAAATTTCGTGAGCTTATTGTGACGATATTTAATGTTGTATTACATAGAGAACTATCCGATGACTTGGGGCAGCCTGTAAACTGCATCTCAATGTCAAATGATGGTAACTGCATACTGGCTGGCTGCTTAGATTCAACTTTACGCCTTATTGACAGGTATACATTTGAGTTTACTTATTGTAGACGTGTATCTTGCTTAATTTGCACGCACGCTCCATTCAATAACTGTTTCTTATGATAGAACTTCTGGTGAATTGCTTCAAGAATACAAAGGACACACTTGTAAGGTTAGTATGCAGCTGTGTAGTGCGACTCCTTGTGATTTTTATTACTATACCATCCCCTTCATGTGTGTTCTCGGCTCTTTTCATCACTTTTTCTCTGTATCCAGTGGTGACTATGCAATATTTGACACAGGGTATTACGTAAGTTTTACTCTCTTGTTCATGACTTCTTATCATTTTAATTGGTTGTTTCTGTACCAGTCTTACAAATTGGACTGCTGCCTTACCAATACTGATGCCCATGTAACTGGTGGGTCGGAGGATGGTTACATTTTCTTCTGGGATCTGGTAGATGCATCTGTGGCAACAAGTTTCAGAGCGCATTCATCAGTGGTAAAGCTTATTTTTCTTTTCCAATCATTGTGTTTTTACTTTTAAAATAATGTTGATGTTGAATGCTCATAGCACCTCTTCCTGTTTCTTGTGTATAAAGTTGTACGTGTGACTAATCCAGCCTAATTGAATAAGATTGTCAACAAATTTAAGAATCCAGCCTAATTGAATAAGATTGTCAACAAATTTAAGAATAATACGCTGTCTTTCATCATATTGTTACAGTTCTGATATTTTTCATCTTTTTAAGGTGTATTTCTTTGTGATTCCTTGTTAATTGTTCTGTTATAATTTTGATTTTCCTCTGGATCTTGCTCTTTGATGTATCCTGCAATAGACTACACTTAGAAAATTAGAGAATAACTAGAAACACACAAGATTTATACTGGTACGGGCCGTACGGCAGAACTTTTGCCTACGTCCAGTTGTGATTTCCTTGGGTAGAGAAACCATGGCTTCTTTGATTAATAATAGAGTTACAGTACTTTTGCAAAATCCTAGAACTAATCCCTCTTTGTCCCTCTCAGCTATCTCTGGCTTTTTCTCCCTAATTTCTAGCCTTCCCGCACCCTATTTATAAGTATAGGTTGTGGTTTACATGCCTATTTTCTGATTAAGTTTTCTATTTATGGAAATAGAAAGTAGACTTTCTTACCTATTCCAATTAGACTTCTAGGATTCCTAATCTAATTGTACAAGGAAACTATGATTCTTTCCTAGTCGAGGAGAAGAATTGGTGCACCGTTTCCCTAATACAATCCTAAACAAAATAGGACACTAACTTTTATGAGCCAAAATCCTAACATGTTCTTCTTTTTTAATTTTCTCTATATTTTTTTGCTATTCAATTGTGGTAGCTTTTGGTAAAGCTTTTTCTTTCTGTATATTGTGAACTGGTACATACTAATATGTCGTCCTTTTTGTTCCGATTTATTGTCATAGAGTAGACAAAACATCATGGAGGTTAGTCCTCCCTCTTATGAAATGCTCCCCTCAGATAGAATTAATCAGACTGTCCTTGTAGAACTTGGGGAGCTTCCACAGGCATATATGACTGCTATCTGTGGGAAGTTGGAAACCTCACCCACAATTATTGCTCTCTCCCCGGAGCAAACTCCACAATAACTTGAGACTGAGTCTTAAGGGCTTGCTGCTTGCTGGGTACTTCAATAATGTATTAGTTTTAAAGTGAAATGCTAAAGAAAATGCAAAACGAGTTAAACTTCGATGGTGAGTATGGAAAACACAAACTGAAAAGACCAAATTGTGAACTAGTCGAAGTTTACCTGTCACAAAATTATTCTATGATCTCAAAACAAACTTCGTCAAGAAATTGTGTCGCAACATTCATCGTGATTGAAGGGGTTTAAAAGTAGTGTATTGGTTGCAACATTTTATCATTGCTGTGCTTCTTTCTCAAGCAAACTAGTTTAAAGAATCAAAAATTTTACATGTACATTTGATTTTGACCTCGACCATATATGTTTCCTGTTCCTCCGTGCGTATTGTTGTGTGGCCCAGGATCTGTTCCGGGTGAAGAACCATACCGTTGTTGAAATATGGATGTTGATTGTTGAATGAAGCGATCATCCGTCATCCCCTGAGGACAATAACACTAGACATCTTAGTTTGTGAAAATGTTCAAGTTTTGTTTTCTATGTAATGAATGGTTTGGAATACAATGTCAAACAAAAGTGGTTGAATTTTCTTTTATAGGTCACAAGTGTCAGTTATCACCCAAAGGACAACTGCATGATAAGTTCGTCTGTTGATGGCACCATTAGGGTGTGGAAGACTTGAAGAAGCAATTAAGCAACTGGACCTCGAGGCGTTGCTGTTTTGTACCAACTATCTTGCCCTGCACGGAGATTTTCCAATGACTATTCTACTGTTCAATGGACAAGTACGTTCGAGCACCTTGTATTGATGATAGAAATTTGTTATATATACCTTGATTGGTTAAATATTTCGAAACTTTCCATCAATTTGCACAATGTTTTTGCATGGACATAGAGCAGGTGAATCTCCAATCATGTCCAAGCCAAGCGCCATTTCGAATAATAATCGAAATCCTGTGAAAGAGTGAGAATCCGCGAAGAGGAGATAATTGCTCGCACGCTTAATTCATGGTGGGGTGAATGAAGAACGAGATGAGAGGGCATGAGAGAGCTCAAAGTTGAAGCCTCAAGTGGTTTAGGAGAATATCAAGAGGGTGCCTTTTACTTTTACCCCAGTACTAGAGCATTCGGCCCATTATGCCTACCAAATAATTGATCGTGCCCGAGCTGACGTCTCTACCTGCGTTCACTAGAGTTGGTCCCCGACGGATCGTTCGAAAACTAACATTGTAGAATTCCTAAACGAAAACAAAAATCTTTGCAAAAACAAACCAATTAAAAGCAGGAGAAAGCACATACATGGGAAACTAAGTTGAGGTAACAGAGGAAGACGCGGTACGAAAAATGGCACGATTCTAGCTGAAGCGACTATAAAAATTTGAATTTACTCCGAAGAAAGTCTATATGGACATGACCAGACGATCCCAGCTATTCATAAAAGAGGTGCCAAACGATTGGATCATGACACGTGGCGACTCGGTAGCTTTGCTTTTCAAATGGAAGGGGCCTGAAAGGACTTCGCAGCCTACAAGGCCATGCATATCTGCGGCATTTAATGTGAAGACGCCTCGATTCAGCCACCAACTCGCAGCGGACTCAAATTGAGCAAGCACCCACTTCTAACAACACTAGGTCCCCATTCAAAATTTGGTGACTAATGGAATTCTTAGCCAAGCGCTCACAAAACAAGGAGCCAACCGCCAAAGGCCCACCATTCCGGGTATGTGACGCAATGCCTAACAGCCACCCCCGAATCCGACCGACTCATGCAACTCCCTACCTAAGAAGGACCCTTGGACAAGGAGTTAGGAGACTTGTTAATGCAGGGAAGGACCCTTGGACAAGGAGTTAGGAGACTTGTTAATGCAGGGTTCATTCCGATTCCGATAGGCCCAAAGGAATATGGGCAAATGAACACTGCCCCAAAGAAAGCAAAAGTCCAATGAGCATGGAAAAATGAAACCAAGCACTTTAAGGAGCCCATGGCCTCCCAATGTCTAATTAGCAATCGGGCCGAACACTTCTCTATCAAACACCTTCTGAGCACCAGAGGGCAAGTTGGCAACTAACAACTTTTGGGCACAAGGCTCTAGGAACATAAAGGGTAGCCTAGTCAAGCGTCTACTTCATGCCACATGGCAGCCATACAAGGGAATATAGGCCTACGAAGGGACATAATGGTTGACAAGAGAAGTGCTCAGTTACGAATCCCCACCAACTTCGAGGGCCGAGCAAGGCGCTTGGTCACTTCATCCCAAGAAAGGACACAAGTGGACCTACGCAACACTACTACAAAAGTACCCAGTAGTTTCATTTTAGAAAGTGACAAGAAAAACTCATTCATGTCTGATATTAAGGAAAAATCCAACAAAAACTCATGTAATGGCGGATAGAAGAACCGACAGCATTGCTAGCGTCACGAAAAGGCTTTTGATGTCGATTAGTTCCCTTAATCCGCCAAGAAAAAGGAAAGCGCTTACAAATAAAAAAAATGACAATAGTGTCAGAGAAAAGTGACATTGAAACTCCCAAATAAAAAAGCAGATTTGTGTTGCTCATAACCGACACCACTAACCATTAAAGGCATATGAGTCCTCAGGTGAATCGCATCTCAATGCCAATGCCAGTCCTTTAGCCTAAGATGCTGACTTATGGCCAAATGTGACCTCAAGAGTGGTTTTATCATCACGCACAAAATCCTTGGCGATGTATACCGTATCGGGATAATTGAACTTTTCCTTCATCATGTGACCAATAAGCCATGTGTTGACTTGCAGGTAACAATCCTTCAACAAAGCCAAATCACACTGATGGGAGACTTCATCTTTGGCAATCCTAAACTCCCTATTATCTATCTGGTATGCGGAAATCCGTCATGGACACCATGCATCCTTACAATTGACAATGAGACGCCCCTTCGAAGATGTATCGACCTTGTACTGAAAATTCCCTTTAATCGCTTTCAACTGAAGCCTTCTTGATAGATCTTGCTTGTCGACAAAAATGTCACCCCTTTTCAAATACGGCTGCCAATTCGCGTTTCCCTCAACATCATAGCTTAGGCTTTTCACGTAAGCATAAAAATTGCCGGCAGATTTATTCGTGTGTGCCGCAACCATACTTCTCTTGCGTTTTCGGTTTTTGACATGTACGCCTCCATTTGGTTGTACCTCATTACTATCACCCATGGACATCACATTTTGAGTTGTAAAAGTGGTCACAGCAGTTAAATCAAAGCCGTACTGCCACAATTCAAAGTCCACCATGGTAACCCAATCTATGTCATCGCCATCTTCAAAAGGCACCTCCATAGTACCAAAACCCTTTGTTTGCCAGCTAAAATACTTGTTGCTTCAAATGTTGCATCTGACCATAGTGGGACCTTAGTGGGAGGTGGGTTCATACTGCTCGAGATGTGGAGCATGGATACATATATAGGTGTCACCATCATACCAATAATTGCCAAGGTATAATCCAAAAAATACCGCATGTCACTATCGTCCCTAATGAACACAAGTTAAAAATATTAATATACCCTTAAAATAGAAATTGACAGATAAGGAGAGTGTTTGAATATAGATCCAAAAAAACTCAAACACAAGGATTTTCTCAGTTTGATTTGTGCGTGATAAACAAAACTTGTTATCTGGTTAAGATGGTGGGGAGGGTTAATTTGTTTATCAAGACATCTTGCTCTCGTTTTCAAGGCAGAATGTCCTGAACGAAGGATTGAACATCATGGGTATCCTTGTTTTCTGGACATGGTTTCCTTTCCTCGTTTCGTGTTTGCCCAGTGAGAGGGTTATGTTTGTGCTAGTAGCATTTTCATTGACATCACTCAAGCACATCCAGTTCATATCGAGTCATTCCTCCGGTAGCACCTATCGAACATCATTTGTTTCCACGAATGCCTCATGGACAACTGAGGAAGATTGCTCCAACTGTGTGTTAGAACCAATCAAATGTTAAGTATATATTATACAACAATTGCACAGTTTATTTCGAATAGAAATTTCACAAGGATACAATATATATATATATATATATATATCTAACAATATAAACAATTAATAAACCACAAAACACTGACTTGGTTAGGAAGATAGAGGCTTGCAGTAGCAATCTCCTAAGACAGAAATACGCCCCTACACCAGTGCAGTAGTTCAAATGGACGTCTATCTTGCAGGATACAATTATCTAATCCAAGTTCTTGCACACGAACTTGGATTCTTGGTGAATTGATTGAGCGTTTCTCTGTGAAATATGGAGGAAGGAAAATGAAATTGATGATACAGTTTCTGATTTTATTGCCATATATATAATGGCATAATTTGAACAAATACAACCGTTCATGCTTATCAGTTTTTAAAAAACCGAATGTAACTGAACGTAACTATTCAATCAGTTTTATTCTTTCAGAAAAAACTGAATCCAAAAATCAAAAACGTAACTTGTGTTTTTCGTCCATCCGAGCCCAAGAGCCCTAAGGCCCAAGGCCCATCTTTGACATTTAATATATACACCCAAACCCTCCAAGTCTAAGGCCCAAGGTCCATGGCTTTGGCCCAATTCATTTCAAACTATAATTGAGTTCACTCACTTATAAAGGTGATGTTCACTAAAGGTTTGGGCGATGTGGGACTCCAAGTCCCACATAAAACACAAGTTCCAACAATACCCCCACATTTTCTATTCAAACTTTAGCAATACCCCACATTTGAATTGAAATAAGATACTAGCTAAATTAGTAATGTCTTTCCAGAGAACTTAGATATGATACGCATCGGAATAGGTGTCTTTTGGACTTGAACCTTCTCTAGTGAGTACTTATCGATTTTACCTAATGAAGCAGTGAATTTACTATATTGAAATGATCATTCTTAGTAGTAAAATCGAAACAATAAGTATCACACATATCACATCTTAACACACGTCAATTCATACGATTGTGTTCATTTTGGTCCTGAACATATCCTGATTTCATGAGACCTTTAGAGAATTGTAGCCATACCAATTCTCAAAGATGCGACCCCATATCAATCTCATATAGGTAATGCTAATAAAGAATATCCTGTTCTATTCATCTTAATCATAAGATATTAGCATTATTAAGAATAGTTATTCACCCTTTTCGTCTTACAGGCAACACATTGTTTTCCATCATAAGAATGAGTAAAGATATTGTGTTGTTTACTTTGCGTTTTCCTCAACTAGTTTGCCTATTGAACCTAGACCATGGGATCTCCATTTAGCTAGGTTAGGTTTCCGTCAAGTTATAACTCATTGAGTTGGCTTTAAACCCATTCCCCTCGATGTAAATGCCACTTGATCCTTGGATAGGCCTTTTGTCAAAGGATCGGCAATATTCTCCTTAGATTTAATATAATCAATGGAAATAGTTCCATTCTTGAGTAGTTGTCTAATGGTTTGACATTTAATATATACACCCAAACCCTCCAAGTCTAAGGCCCAAGGTCCATAGTTTTGGTCCAATTCATTTCAAACTATAAGTGAGTTCACTCACTTATAAAAAGTGATGTTCACTAAAGGTTTGGGCGATGTGGGACTCCAAGTCCCACATAAAAACACAAGTTCCAACACTGTGAACACTCTTGTCTGGTACCTCTTGAAGAGCATGTCCATATAGATTTACTGCGGCACAACCCCACCACGCACATTGATTCGTTTACATTTCGCAATTTTTTCTTTTTTTAACAAGTTTGGGGCATCTAACTAGCATAAAAAAGAAGATGATTCTCTATAAGCTGGGTTTTGTCAATTTCAAATTTAGTATCATTTTGTATTTGGCAATTTTCTTCTGCATTATATGATTTTGGTATGTTTTGTCTTTGAACTTGCAGTGGAAATGGATTTCAATATTCATTTTCTGAGTTTTTATTTTGATACAATTATCATGTAAAGATATATTATTACTTTCATATCAACTTTTGTTATAATTATAATAAATCTCAAAACATAGATATAATACTATTGAAGTTCAAATTTTGGTTATTTTTTCAAATTTTCACTTTTTCTTTTTCTTATACTGCGATTATCTCTAATTTTACAGAGACCCGAATGGTTAGGTGGGATCCTGAGGAAAGGGGACTCTATACCTAATCCTCATCCTAAATCAAATTCACAAATTCCCAAATCCCTAATATTTCCAAATCGAAGAAATTTTCTTGCTGTTGGGTTTTCGTTTTTGTGGTCATTGAATTCTCAAAGAAGAAGGAAAAAGATTCTTATGGCAGTGAAGGACACGTTCTACCTATCGCACGGATCCCCCACGCTGAGCATCGACGAGTCGATTCCGGCCAGAAAATTCCTCCAGTCTTGGAAGGACACGGTCTATCCTCACAAACCCACCTCCATTCTCATCATCTCGGGACACTGGGAGACCGCCGTCCCCACCGTCAACTCCATTTCCGGCCGCCACGACACCATCTACGACTTCTACGGCTTCCCCAAATCCATGTACCAGCTCAAGTACCCTGCCCCCGGCTCCCCCCACCTCGCCAACTGCGTCAAGCAGCTGCTTACGTCCTCCGGCTTCGGCCCTGTGGACGTAGACAGCAAGCGGGGGCTCGACCATGGCGCATGGGTCCCGCTCATGTTGATGTACCCGGAGGGAGACATCCCGGTTTGCCAGTTGTCGATTCAGACAGAGAGGGACGCCACTTACCATTACAACATGGGGAGGGCGCTGGCTCCACTCAAGGAGGAGGGCGTCCTTATAGTGGGGTCCGGTAGCGCCACTCACAACTTAAGGGCGTTGAAGAAGACAAAGGGCAATGGTGTTGTCCCTTGGGCTCTCGAGTTTGACACATGGTTCAAGGACGCTCTTCTCGAAGGAAGGTACGAGGATGTGAACAAGTACGTGGAGAAGGCACCGCATGCGAAAATGGCGCATCCTTGGCCGGATCACCTTTACCCGCTGCATGTAGCGGTGGGGGCTGCTGGTCCGGATGCGAAGGCTAAGCAAATCCACGACAGCTGGGAGCTCGGTGCTCTTTCGTATGCCTCCTATCAGTTTACATCACCTTGAACTCAGAACTACTTGCAGCTTCCAGTTGAAGATTGTAATAGGGTGTGCCGCGGCGGTGGCGGCTGCGGCCATCAATCATGTCAATAAAGTTGCCATGAATGAATGATTGTGTATTACTGAATGCTAATTTGTCAGTTACCCCATTATCCAATTTCACTTTGTTTGCCTTCTTTTTCTGCTTCTTTTACTGCGATTATCTAAATATATTGGGTTTCTAATCCTTGTTTACCAGAATTAATCTACCTGCTAATATTGCACAGCCTAATACCTGCGTACAAATATGACAATAAGATGACACATCAAAGTAACTCAGAGTTCGGGTTGGCTTTGGCGAATCATTTAGGATGGAAGTTGAGCCTCTGCTTGAGAAAGCAAGGGGTTGTAGCTTTGTTTTTGATAAAATCTTGTTTGTTTCTGTAAACTAATGTTTGGCAATTGGCACTGATATTATGCTTTGACAGGCTACGGCTGAGTATGTAGCAAGAGTTTCCTCTGGAACTGCCCCTGATTGCTTCCATTCTACTTGTATATACTACAATGTTGTTCCTTTGTTTTTTGGTATAAGGTAATTTATAGGGTCATTTTATTGTCTTTATTGTTAAATAATTTTGAATTATGTGCAGGATGGTGGACACTAGTGTTCTGGTTACAGCGAAGACACAATTGAGGGAGACGTGGAGGAAGGTCGTATTACTCAGGGGGGTCACTTTTTTCATGATCCCAGTGACCTCTTTTGGTAACACCGTCTATACTACGCTTTTCATAATACTTGGAAGGGTTTCAGGTTTAATTTTTTTAGTTGTTGGAACTTGGAAGAGACTTTTGTTCACACCTCGTTTACATTTTATTTCCTCAAATAGGAGCCGGCGAGCACAAAGGATAACAAGATGCAGTTAGTTATGTAATGGGCTGAATGTACCCATTGGCTCTTTGCTAGTTTTGCGTAGAATGAAAGTATTGACTTTGTGAATGTTGTCTTTTAGATTATAAACTCCATGAATCCTTAGAGAACTCTTAACAGCATAACTCTGAATCTGCAGGTCACTGATAGGCTCCATTGGTACGTAAAGGATGGAGATACGGTAAAGAATTGTATGCTTATATCTGAGATAGTTTTAGTAGATTGGCATGCAAGTGCACTACATTGTAAGATGAAATGTATTTTGGATGTTTCTTTGAGTTATGTAGTTAATTTTCTGATCGATTGTACTAATCCAAATTAAAGTGCATACAATTTTATTTGCATGGCAGATTATTTGCTCAGGTGTCTATTCGTCTTCTTAGATGCTTCGTAGAACCTGAAGCTGTATTTGACTGTTCACCTAGAGGCTAGAGGCTAGAGGCCTGCTGATGTATAGATCATCGTACTATTATTTGGCATTCTTTGCACTGATTACAACTTACAACAGTTACAACGGTAAGAAAACTATTTCAGGCTGGCAGCTTCATATTTATCATTTATCAACCATAAAAGTCTTTCCATTTTTTGTTCAGAAACTATTTCAGGCTGGCTGCTTCTTCTAGGGCCTTATCATATTTATGATAGCAGAAGCCTCGATGTTTATTGTTCAAGAGGAAAGGTTCTTGGGGATGAATGCTTTACACTGGACTCTTTTTTCATTAGTAATCTAGGACAATATTACTTCGATTCCAAAATGATGACAAACCCTAATCGCCACAGTCGTGCGGCATTTCTTTGTGAGAGACAACTGTTTTGGGTGGAAGAGAAAGCTTGGGGTGATCTCTGAGGACTATTCCTGGCTTGATTCAATTTCTGTTTTTGTATGAACGAAACTTTATTCTGAGACAAAGACATCTGGTATTTGAAATGCGATTTTTTTTTTTTTTTTTTGAATTTACACAATCGATCTTGCAATGAACATATTCATCTCGTAAGCTAGTGTTTCCTGGAATGATAGCCCTTGTGTTGTATTAAATGAAAATACGATTTTGCTTTTAGAATTTACAATCGACCAAGCCATAAACATATTCATCTCGTAAGTTAGATTTTCGTGGGATGATTGCTGTGCTGTATTACATGAACAGGAAAGAGGACTTGTGGTGTTGTGATTCCTTGTTCAATGTTAATGTTGGATCATGAGAACTGCTGTACTTGTGTCTACTTACTATATAGGTATGAGAATCATTTCACTTCTAAACTTTTCTACGCGTCTTTGCTGCGCCGGTTGTGCTGCTAAAGGCAGTGGCGGAGCCACATAGATACTAGGGTAGTCTAAGGCCATCTCGGAATTTAAACTTATATTAATTGTCTACTGATTTTTGCAAGAATGAGAATGTGGTATTGGTTGATCAGATTTTGGACCTATCCTGGGGTCGACACCTATGGATGGAAAACTACCTTTTGGTTTTTTAAACGCCCACCAAAAATAAAATTTACCATGTATAAGTACTCTTCTGCCAACATTCTGATTTCTTTTAAACCAATTCTTTTTTTTTAGTTTATATAAAACAAGGTATATACATTCGAGATGAAGATCAATAATATTAAAAGAAAAATCTCATCATAATAGTTTGAGCTAGTTATAACGTTATTATCAATGTTGCTTAACATGTCAACACAGGTTGTATTTACTATGACTTCTCTCAATACTAATTTTTTTTCATACAAATTTTAAAGCTCCATCACTCTTGTTTGATTAAAATTTTTCATGATATTACTAAATTTTTTTTCTAATTTCTTTCATTAGCTTAAAGGGTCCTCCTGGTATGAATTTCTGGCTCCACCACTAACTGAAGGTCATAAGGACTGGAAGCCCTTGTAGTAAGCATAAAATTAAAGTAGCCCAAGCTTATTAATAAGTTTAAGATAGTCAAGATGGGTGGAGTAGGGGGCTACTCATGGTCCACACAGTAATAAATGCTTTAACTATATATTTGTATTTGTATTTAAGCTTAACCCTCGTTATTGGAATTGACGCTTTTTCTTTGCATAAAAAAAAAAAATGGAAAATAGAGCTATTGCCTGCTGTCATAAACTTAGTGTCTTGACCAATTTGAAAGATCACCTAATGTAATTGAAATAACGGAATTTTGGGTTGTTCAATCAAGTAAAGGAAATTTAATAATGGAATTGATAACCGGCTCAATCTTGTTTTACATCCATTCTGTTTTATTTTCAAGTAAACAGGAATGCTTGGCTTGACTGGTAATGTTTGTTTAATGAACCAATGAGATACGTAAGTCACTTAGCACTACGGTTTAGTGGTATTTCTCTTCACTTGTAAATGAGAGGTTTTAGATTCAATTCTTGTCAATGGTGAATTTGAACCACATTTTATTAGTTCATTATGAGCCTTAGCGCACTCTCTCACCCTCTTAGTATAAATAATACTGTTTGTCCAAAAATAATAATGAGAGAACGTGAATTAGACAACCCTGTTATTTCCTTGATGACTTTGATTGTTAAGTGACCAAAAAGACTATGATAGTTATTGGACCAAAAGGATTGAGATAGTAAACCAGATTAGAACAAAGCAAACTAGACCAAACCAAATCAAAACTGACCAGATCATATCATATCATATCCACTGGATAAAATTGAAACCCCACATATTGTTGAATACACCCCATATACTTAATACAGCCCCACATTTGCTTTTTTAATTAAAACTTATCTTAATACACCTCATTTACTTTCCTATAATATCCTCACACCCCACACTCTCACCATATACCCTACATTTTCTACGTACACCCCACACTCTTCAAATCTTAGGTGCAAATACATAAGGTCATCCAAAAGTACCTTTGGTGTAAAGCTGAAGCTGGTGTGATTTCGAAATTTTTTTTTAATTTTTCCATTGGAGTGGTGCCAGCAATTGTTTGATTATTTGCATGTTTATTCCCTCATGTTTCCCTATCGGGTCATTTTGGTTCCGGTCCTTAATCAACCTAATTGTTAGACTAAAACCTTATTTGTTTAAATATTTTGATCAAGGTCCTTAGCCTCATTTAAAAGATTTAACTAATGCATTTATGCATTTAATGTCCCACAAATTATGAAATTTAAACAAATTCAAATAATATTTTTAAATATAATAAGTACTTAAAAATCAATTTTAGAGTAATATTGTTCTTCACAAAAATTATAGCAAAAAAATAATGATACACCCTGACCCGGAATGTCCACTAGGATCCTGAATCGAGTCGTGCTAGCCGACACCTGGAAGGTGACGAAGCCATAAAGTGTGATAATGTAAAAATGTGAATAAATTAAAATCTAATTTGCCTAAGTACACGAGTGCGCGGTGAGCGGGTCTGGAATCATTTCATGCATGATACAGAGCATAGGTATAATACAGTAAGGTAAGATAAGGATTATACCATTATAAGAAGACATATGTACTGAAAAGTGTCACGAATCCTCGTCGATACGGAACTCTGCTGCTAGAACCTGGAGGGGTGCAAAAATAGAAAATATGAGTGAGTGAAACAAAACTTTTCAAATCAATTTCAATTACCAAAGGTAGTAGCCCCTCGTCGTAATACTTGTATAATTTCCCAAAAAATAGAATACATATGTATATAGAAATCATGCTCAACAGCAATGAAAGCCAAGTATATGCCATGTTAAGAATCTCAACAGGAATAAGAAACCCAGGTGAAATAAATCAATATGAAATGGTATGTCAGTCGGATCCACTTATTGTGGCATGTACAGCTAAACCAATAGCTCATCAACATGTTAGCCAGAGTCACCTCACTTGACTTGTACGACCTATCCATATCACATCAATCAATGCTAGCACATAAGTCGGAAGTCACCTATAGTGAAATGTACGACATAATCTATAACTTATCAAACATGCCTGCACACGAGTCGGAACCACCTCTAGTGGTTGGTACGACAGGACTCGATGTAAATAAGTACGCTCAAGTGCTACACTCACGTGAAGACTATGCGAATAATCGCGGGTCACCTACAAGTTGGAACCACCTATAGTGGTCTGTATGACAGGCCTGTGCACCTACCTTGAGTTCAAGGTGAGCGTAAGGTGCGGGAGGTGAACATCACGTGAAGGATTGTTCGACTATTTAAAAAAAATTTACCAAAATTTACAGAAATGAAGATCTCAATGAGTATATCAAGTTTTATACCTGTGGCCAAGTCCAATTTGGCCAGAAAATCCCCAAATTCACTTAAACCCGC